TAATTTATAAAATAACATTGTTTGCACTCATTACTTTTATAGGAAATTTACATGTCTAGGAAAATATATAAAGATTAATAAAGTTAACATTTTTAAAAAATATTACATATATATCACAAATTACTCAAATTTTAAAATGTATGGCTAATTAAATTATTTTGACCATTTTAATTGTACTATGCTAAACATCCCATTAGGTGTCCACTCCTGGCATATCTGTATAATACTTCCTTTTTAATATTTTATTTATTTATTTAATGTATATGAGTGTATTGCCTGCATGTGTGTAAGTGCACCTATGTCGTGCAATGCCTGTGGAGGTCAGAAGAGGACATCAGACCCCCTGGAACTGGAGTTTTGGATGACTGTTAGCTGCCATGTGGGTGCTGGGAATCGAACCTAGGTCCTCTGCAAGAGCAGTCAGTGCTCTTAACTACTGAGCCATCTCTCCAGCCCATCTCTACAAGAATTTTTGAAGGTATATTTTGAAGCGTGAAAAGATAATTTGAAACAAAATCATAAATTAAGTGTATACATCATAATTTCATACCAAACTGATATAGTTTTAAAATAAGAAACATTTTAAACATAAGAAAAAGAAATAAAGATGTACTTTGGGGATGCTGGAGAGATGACTCAGTGGTTAAGAGCACATACTACACACTTCATACATCCCCAAGAGTATATGAAATACATATATGAAATAATGTGTCATTATAAAACAAAATCATTCACAATTGCTAGGGAACTTACATACTGTCAATGCAAAACACAGCTCTTACTTTAAATGGGCAAAGAAATAGTTTAGTCTGAGCCAAGTATGAGTAACTGAGAGACCATGGCTTGGGAACATGGATTTGGCCTGTGTCAAATAACATCTTCCAAAGTGGAAGCACTTTCAGGAAATGCTTATAGTCACAGAATAAAAAAGGAAACAAAGAAAGTCATAAACCAATTATTTTCCAAATGCAATATCAGGGCCATAAAGCAGGCAGGTTACAGCAAAGAGGAGGAAACTCTGCCGTAGATTTTAGATATTATCTGATGCCATGCTTAGCTTTTGGGGCTGTAGAAACTAGCTGTATTGTAACACATTCTAAAGACTTTACCTCATAATTGAAGGGAAGTTCGATCAGACACAGAAATGGGGAATGAAGGTTTCTAAGGGAACTAAGTCAGTCCAAAATAATTTGGATCTGGACCTGCAGCATTCTAAATCTCCATAGTCACAATGCTTCAACCAGTTAATCAGTCTTTTAGGGTATTTCACATAGGTGTCGCTTTTATTTCTGGAAATTTTAATTCACAGAATGTATTAATATATATCTATATATTAATTTACTTTATTACCTTTAATTATGTGTTTGTATGTGCCTGTGTGCTTTCTCTTTCATGGTTGGTCTATTACTGTCCTTTACCCCAATCTTCATTCTACAAGTTGTTATTGTTCTGTTTTCTTTTCTTTTCTTTTTCTGTGACTTGGGTTACTAAAAACATTAGTTTCCCTTTCAGCCTTTTCCAAACTATTAAATATTCTGTACAAACACAGTTGGTAAGTGATTCGCTGCCCTTCTTGAAGTAACCACCACCACACCTCATGGTGTTTTTACTTCCATGTTCGCCACACACACCCTTGACTCTCTTCATTGACTTGGATGCTCATCTCCCCAAACTAAGATTCGGCCCTGTAATCTTTGCCTCAGGTAAAATTGCTTAAACAAGTGAGTCAAAGATTAGATTTATATATTTTTTTTTACTTTCAAAACATCTGCGCTTCATCAACAAGCAAACACAGATGTGTATGCGTTGCCGGGGCAGTAGCAAGTCTGACTTCCAGTTCCTCACCACAGCCTCTGCTTGGTTAGGCTGGGAGAACCTACCCTGTGCCTGTTAATACCAAGGTTCCTCATGAAACTACCACAGTTAAGGAATAAGAAGTAAAGAAAGAAACAAAAAAGGAAGACGATAAAGGAAGAGGGATCCAGAAATAGTGAAAGGAAACCAACAGGCAAAAATACCTGTGAAGCATTTAAATGCAAGAAGATGACATTATAAATGAGCAGCACTTGATGAACAAGACTGCTCAGTCTTTCCAAATGTTAAGATCAGACTTGGAGTAATAACACTACACCGGACAAGCATTAGGCTTGGCTGATAAGTAAGGCATGAACTGTGTATGTGCAGAAACCTCGTATTCATAGTCCTCACCCCCCCTCTACCCTGCCATTCCCTTAGCCTTTAAGGAAAACAAAAGTCAATTCTCTAGGGAGCTCTGCTATATTATCAAGATACTTTTTTGAAAATAACACCAGAAAGATCTATAATCCCCAAAGGAAAAACAATCTAAAGCTTCTTCTCTGGATGCTGCAATCTCTGGAAGGGAGATTTTGGAGTTGGTTGTGATAAGGAGATTGCTCTCAGCAAAGCAGACACTGAAGTAACCTGCAGTCAAGTTTGCTCTTCCCCAAAAGCATCCCACTCAGATTCTCAAAGTAGCTTTTGAATCTGTCTGTAGTCAGGGGCTAAAGGACCCTTGATATGGGTCTCTGCTCCAGAAAAGAAAACACGGACCCATATCAACATAACATAAATATAGGAAGTAAAAATAAATGTCTGGGACAAAAAAAAATCACTATTGGCAAAGTAGTGGGAATGGGGGATCTGCGTTCATCAGTGAAGGGCAGCCCTGTTAAAAATGTCAGGAACATGAGGAAAATAAGACCATCGGAAACCAGGAAAGAGAGAGGACAACGTCTGAACAAAAGAGAGTGAAAAGAAGAGTGAAGAGTAGAAGAGGGAGATTTGAAAATGCGGAGAATCCAGAGTGAGGGCGCAGCTCTGCAGTAGAGCACTTGACTGGTTTACATCACCCCTGGAGTTCAGTCCCCAGCCTGGGAAAGGAAGAGCAAAGGAGAGCGAGAAAACAAAAGACAGACCACCCGATAACGTGTCAGAAAGTCTAGCCATGAAAAAAGAAAAGTAAAATGAAGCAGAATATTAAAGAAATATTCATACTAAAATATTTAACAGTCGTTCTGTAGCTATCAGTATAAAAACAGTAAAATTAGGGGCTGGAGAGATGTCTCAGCAGTTAAGAGCACTGGCTGCTCTTGCAGAGGACCTGGGTTTGTTCCCAACACCCACAAGGTGACTAACAACCATCTATAACTCCTGTTCCAGGGGATCGGACGCCCTCTTCTGACCTCTGTGGGCATTGCATGACGTGGATGCACTTACATACCCACAGGCAAAACACTAATACACATAAAATATCAAAATATTTCTTAAAATATAATCTATTAATAGAAAAATTAATATTTCCATTAAATTTTCAAAAAAAATGACTGGAAGTAATAACTCTATATTAAAATAATTTAATGTCCAGTACATGGAATATTTAAAAAACAAACAAAATGAATAAAATACAAAGGCAACATTATTTAAAAATTGCAGAAAATCCCAAATGAAGAAGAAAATAAGGTAAATCACTTTTTTTTAATCAACCAAAATGCCATCAGGAATATGAAATCAAATACTATAACACTTGCTATTATTCACATGGGAGATAAAGAATTCATGAAAAATGTTTTTCACGATGTATTTTTTTGTTTATTATTTTTATTTTATATGTATGTGTGTATTGCCTGCATGTAAGTAAGTGCACCCATGTCATGCAATGCCCTCGGAGGACAGAAGAGGCTGTCGGATCCCCTGGAACTGGAGTTATGGACAGTTGTTAGCCGCCATGTGGATGCTGGGATTCGAACCTGGGTCTTCTGCAAGAACTACCAGTGTTCTTAACTGCTGAGCCATCTCTCCAAGCAAGCATGCTGAATATGAAGTAAAATGGAGAAAAAATGGAAAATGTTTAAATGGTGGTTTGAAGACAATTCACACTACCAAAAACAGCTCTAAGGGAGCCATTAAGCTTCATCTCTCCAGAGAAAGCCTTGTTGTCCTGAGTCTACAGCAAAGGAAAGATTCATCCAGAATACATAACACAGAAAAAAGACCAAAGAAATCACCTGTTGTTGAATGAAGTTAATCCAGGTTGAGTTGAAGATCAAAGTGTTTGAGAAGGGTCATCATGATCATGATCTGTGATCCACGGATCCATGGTTATCATGGTCCATGTGGATAAAGTGGGAGAGGAGAATGCTGAGCCAGACTCCCTCCGTGTGTCCCCATGGGTCATGGCAGGAAAAGACCTCAAACTACACAGAAGGAATACTTAGCAAATGGTAGTAAGAACATAGAATGCTGAAACATGGAGGCACTGAGGAAAACTTAGAGTTAAGAACATTTAATACTTCTCAGGAGCAAGAGACAAGGAAAAGCCAGACAGGAAATCGCTACATTAAATCACGTTGTGTAATGAACTCATAGATGAAGTTCATTACAATAAAATGATTGTATATTAAAAATAAATCATCTTGTTCTATTTTGTTAAAATTTTTATTTATTTATTTATTTTATTTAATGTGCATGAGTGTTACCTGCATGTTTGTAAATGCCCCAGTGTCATGCAGTGCCCATGGAAGCCATAGAAGTCATGAGAATCCCTGGAACTGAAGTTACAAGATGGTTGCTAGCTGCCACGTGGGTGCTGGGAACTGAACCCAGATCCTCTGCAAGAGCAGCTAGTGCTCTTAACCATCGAGCCATCTCTCCAAACCCCTTGTGCAATTCTTAACAGATGTGAATTAAAATGGTTTGAAGAGTTTATATGACGGAATATGCTTTTGCAACTATTTCCCAGTTAAAGTTGAGGCTATTTCTCCTCACTCCAAAGGTCACTCCTTCCCAATGAATACTCCCAACCCCTCCCCACATCAGGCAAACCTGGATTCAATTTACAACACTGTCCATTTCCATTGTCTTTCTAAATATTTGATACAAGTTTTCAGTGTGAGATTTTCTTTTCCAAATCACTTGCTTCACTCAGCATGTTTCTTAAAACTTGCACATTGAATGTAGAAATATTTAATTTGCTTTATTGTTTAGTCATATTTCATGATATGATGAAACAATAACTTGCCAACCATCCATCTGGTTGACTGTTCACAGTTAAGAGCAGTTATGAATGAAATGTTGGCAGGCACCTGGGTACAGTCATTTTTACATATAGTTTTCTTTCCTCCTGTTTACATGTATTCTAGTAGAACTGACAAAAATGTGTACTGGGTACTAGGACTGCTTTCCACATGCTCATCATCCTGGGTACTGGAATTTAATGTACAGTTTTCCTAGGATAGATTTCTATTTGACTGATTTTTGTTTTCGAACACCAGCAATATAGCAATTCAAAAATACTTACATTTCCTTTTTCCTGATAAAATAAAAGAAAAACAATATATTGTATATTTTAATATATAATATATAAAT